TCAGTTGAAATTCAACAATATATTCGCATTTATTTTTAACATAAGAATTTCGATCAAATTATCACAAATTTAAACGAAATTATAGTCCTACGGTGACGTGCATAGTGTAGTACGCATAACGCATTAAAAATATGCACTTTCAACTGTGATTAAAATTGTCCATGTGTGATGAAAAATTACCGAAACCCAAAATATCCAAAAATATAAGAAATTCGGTCAAATTATCACAAATTTGAGCGATATTCCAGTGATACGTGGCGTACATAGTGCAGTATGCCTAATGCATTAAAAATACGCACTTGCAATCGTGTATGCGAAAGGTATTGACACACGCTCGACCCAAATGACATAACCGTGACTAAGATTGACGTAGGATGACGTAGTGTTAGCAATTTTTACCCAACTCGATGTACCGAATCATTTTGATAAATCGTCTCCTATCATTTCTTATTCTGAACTAAGGTAAAATATTTTCTTGTTCTCCTAGTTAGTTTAAGCAGTTTAGGATTTACCCTTTTTTTCCGGTAATCCCCTCGCATACCACCTATCGGTGGCATGTCGGACTCGAACCGACTAAAACCGCACGCCGTCTCGGGTAATAATAGCCGGGGAACCAGGTATACCCTAGAAAGGAAGTCCCTGGCGCCCCTACTTAGTATTTACTCTAAATAATCTAAGAAATGGAATTAAAAAAACCTTCAGGCAACCCTCCAACCTTACTCTCCTGTGTCCTGACTGAAAACGATTTTTTTTCCAAGTAGGGTTACCGCTGGACAGGTGGCCTGCCATAAAAGAAACCAACCAAATTCATTTGCAGTTTTACACTGTGTGTGTTACGTTGGGGAAGAAAATTGTTACGAAATTAGCCGTAGTATCAGCCTTCACATCAACAGCCTTTAATAGTCCACTGCTGGACGTTAGCTTCTCCTAAAAAAGGAGGTTTTGGCCTACAATACCACACTGGCCAGACCAGGGTTGGTGGTATATGGTTTGTGTCAAGTTTTCCTTCGCTTTACAGTGCTGTTGTCCTACGTACTTTGCTCCCTTAGTCGGCTCTTACGACACCCACGGTATAAGTAGGGGTGGTGACATTGCGTATTCGTAATCCGTCACCACTCCGACCATTTTGTTTGATCATAGGCCTGGTTCCATTCGTACAAAAGCCATTTTATTCGGAAAAGCAGGTGGGTATTTAGAGGTAACTCCTCTTCACTCTTTTATCTCATTGGAGTACTGGCTTGTCGCATACGTTCAGAAAACGCAATAGAACAAATACGGATGGTTGTGATTCATCGCATGTTGAAAGAAACTAATTAGTTATGTTAATATTATTCGTTATGGCTGGGGTTTTCACACCTCCCGTATAGCACAGATCCTGACCCCACTGTGCGATACTGGGAATCTGTAGACTTTATTGTACAAATAAAAAAAAATAGACTCGAATGTGTGACGATAAAAATTATTGCTATATTATATTGATTACCTAAGCTAAGTGGTAACCGAATAGGCTAACACATTGCGAAGTTAAATAATCCTAGGTCAGTCTATGGATGGGTGATCTTAACACGTTGAGACCCGTCCGTGCGTCGGAGAGCACGTTAAGCCATCAGTCCCGGTTCCCATACAAACATCTTTGGCAATTGTTACGTTAGTTGAAACCCTAAAAAGTCTGACAATAGTCTTCGATATCGCCTAGTACCTCGCGCGACACAAAAACAATATCGAAAATGTGCGGGTAGATGAAGAGCCTTCTACTTCACGGATTCGACGACGGAGGGCGTGCGCCGATGAGCCAGTCAGCCTGTGAACACGGCCGGTGCAACCTGGTCGAAACGTCAGGCAAACCAGAGATATGTAATACCCTAAATAAGAGATCGCGTTAATTCCCGTTAAATAATATTAATTATCATGGAACGCGAAAGTTTAAAAGTTAGTACTGAAGTCACTTTCTGGGCTATAGTTATGTGCTAGAAAGTAAATAATATTCTTGGTCTAATAAGGATCTGAGCAAGATCTAATTGGGGTGCTGGAAAGCCACGTGGCCGTGTTCGGTCTTGCTTACAATCCATAACCGATCCGTATAAGTAGTCCCACTCATAGGTACAAGGCATAGAGGGCAGAGGCCTATTACCATCAAAACTGACTGACTGCACGGATGGCGTAGTGGTTTAAGCGGTCGCCACGCCGCTTCCTACTGCGCCGAGTGTGGTGGGTTCAAACCCCACATGGAACGACACTTTGTGTGATCCACAAATTGTTGTTCTGAGTCTGGGTGTTCTTTGTGTCCGTTCCATATATGTTTGTAAAGTCCCCCGTGACACAGGAATGTATTCCTACTGCGGGAGTTGTCTTTTTATTTAAAAAAAAAAAAAAGGGCGCTTTGGGAATAGAAGATAAGAAAATTGCGAGTAAATTTTGAAATGGCGAATCGTTCTTCACATTTCATGAATGTTTTCTTTATTGTTACGCGGTATTGCACCTGGCGCATAACGTTTTATTTCCTTATCTTATCACTTCTTTGCACGACGTTATGATATTATTACTTTGTAGTTCTCACGGGAACCCTCCGTTCCCGTGGAAAATATGGCATGAACGCCACCTGACGAGAAGTGTCCTTGCCTCACTTGGTAAACAAAATATATCCTCGTAAACTAACAAATTGTAGTAGTTCATGGTTTATGAAAGTGGTTAAGTTTCGCAAGCTGTTATTTCTGTCTGTGACTGCCAGATGGCGTAGTGTTGTAACAGAATGCTACGCCAAAGGTCGCGGGTTCGATGTCTGCTCAAGTCAAACATTTGTGTGCATGAACATTTAATGTTTAATTTGGTCTGAGTGTTTCTATGTATTAATATGCATGTATTCACAAAAAAAAAGTATATATGTAATTGAATGTTGTGTGTTAATGTGATATAAGTTTATCAGTTAACTACGCATCACAACAGCTCTGCAAAGAAAAGGAAAACTTGATACAAAACCTATACCAATCCGTCTGGCCAGCGTGGCATATTAGGCCAAAGTCTCCTTTCTAAAGCGAGGCCTATGTCCAGCAGTGGACTATTAAAGGCTGTTGATGTGATGTGATATCAGTTGTCTTGTACTCACCTTAACCAATGTGTGTAATTGATTGACGCCTGTGGTATTTCCGGACCGATAAATCTGAAAACCCGCAACAAAAGAGTGTACTTCCACGTCAGCTCAGACCAGACCGGCAATATACTTGTGGCTCTTGAACCGCCGGTGGTAATCACTTATTATTTAGTGACCCATCTGCTGGCTTGCTCCATATATCATAGATAGATATAAAACTCTTTATTTGTACACCATTTTACAAGAAGTATGGTAAATTTTATTTCATAAAAATATCAGACATGTAATGTACAAAGAGCGGCCTCATTGAGGCCATTGCTAAGAGCAATCTCTTTCAGACAACCTTAGGACGGATAAAAAAAAAACTTGAGAGGTGTCAAGGGACACCCGGATGGAACGAAGTTCCTTTCGATTAATTAGTGAAGGAATTGTATTTTTGTGTGTGTGTGTGTGTATTTTTTATTATTTATTATTTACAAAAAACCTGTATACACTCAACAAAAATAATCATTGCGACACCACACTGTTCAATGCGAAATAGAAATGAAAATATCTGGCTTGCTTTCTATAAGAGAGAGAGAGACAGACAGAGAAACATGCGACGCCGCAGAGCTTACAATAGCTTACTATAGCAAAAAGTGTCGTGACCAATTTTCGTAAGAATTTTTTCCGTCTAGCCCCACACAACGCGCGATAAGGAACTTCGTTCCAAATGTTTCTGAGAGAAAGTAACAGTTGAAGGAGCAATGAGTTTTGTCAGGTTAATTATTATTGAATATAAAAGAGGTAAAATTAGATAAATATTTACACACAAACACATATATATACATCCCAACAAATATACATACATACATATACATACATAAAGCCATATACAATATATACATACACACGCATACATAACTAATTAAGTATATCACACACAAAGCAAGGAAAAACATTCACATCATGTAACACGTAACTGGTTTAATTAAGATACATAAAATTCTTGAACCATTTTCTTGAAACTATTTTATGTTTGCGCTCGCCTGATGTTTATCGGCAATGCATTCCACAAGCGTACATATCCGACATCATAAAAGAATCCTTCAAACAAAATACACCATTGACACCAGACATGATCACCTAACTTCTCTGTTTGTCCACAGTTCGTATTTAGCTAAATGAAAACCACCATCGTGTCACTACAACTCCTTAGTAGTATAACATCTCAACTAAGAGTTTTCCGCGTCCTGGAACCGACAAAATTACATAGAAATGAGCTGGCTATAAAGATGTTCATAGCATTGCGTTCCTAGTTTTCTAAAAAACTTTTTTCTTCTAGTATTTTACACGCTTTATATTAGCTTCACTTGTATGTTTTTTGTTTGTATGTTTGTAATGAACACTACACCAAGCGCGAAGATATCCAATCCAAAATGACCCTAAGACACAAAAGTAGATTAAATCTTCCTACTTCAAGATTAGCAATTCACTCCTCTGGACCATTGGTCATGTCAGTAAAAGTATATAATAGGCTACCAAACGAAATCAAAAACGAAAATAAATACAATACTTTTGTTAACAAATTAAAAAACTTCTAATAAGTAAATGCTACTACAGTGTCAAGGAATACTTAGAAGATAAATTATGAACTTTAAATAATTAACAAGTTAAAAAAAATTGTTTTAAAAAACTAAAAAACACGCATTTCTATACAACATTTCTATAGAAAACCAAACTAAAAAATAGAAAATAAATTTGAAGAAAAGCGGGGGGTACTTTTTACTATTGACAACAGGCACCCAACGCATTTTTCAAATTTATTTTATAAAGCGATGTTATAGAAAGCGTGTTTTTTAGTTTTTTAAAACTATAATTTTTTCTAAATTATTTTTTTAGTAACTTGATTTATATGTAAATGTTGTTACAGACAGTACACGACGAGCGTTTGAATGCCCGCGTCGACTCTATGCTCGAAGAAGGTTTGATACAAGAGTTACTGGACTTCCACGCCAGGCACAACATGCACAGGATACAAGATGGAAAGTAAGTTATTATGTATTTATCTGCTAATATACAAAACTAGTAAACTGTAAGACATATCTCTTACAGTTTACTAGTTTTGTTGACAATTGTTGCTATTTTTACCTTTAAGTTGAAAAAAGAAACAGAAGTAGTAGCCTCAACTCCACAGTCAGCTTTCGACTGCCTCGAGGGTGCCATGGTAGCGTATGCGATTGCTGGGGTCTTGGGTTCGATTCCCGGGTCGGACCAAATGTTTGTATGATTTGCAAATATTTGTTTCGAAGTTTTCTATGTATAATATGAGTATGTATGTATTAACAAAAAAAGTATATAAATATTCTATCAGTCAATGTAGCTTTCATAGTGCAAGCTCTGCTTAGTTTGAAACTAGATGGCGTTGTGTCAATGTCCGAAAAAATATTATTACAGTGAACTATTCCTTTGTTCAATAAAGCAGACCATTGTTTTTATATGTAAACAGCTTCGTGAAGAAGCTTAAAAGTAGCTAGTAGAGTTATAAACACAAAAGACAGACATCCCAAGACTTGATTTTCGCTTTAACAGAAGAATTATTTGCAATCTGTGTTTTAGAAAAAAACTAGACTAAAAATACACAAGGCTGTAGATCGTTATTGTATTTAAACGTTAGCGCTAAAATGGACGGTTGATAGCTAATTTAACGCCAACAAAGGGCAATCTACACAAATTATCCGTGAAATTAAATGGCGCTAAACGAAACATTTAGTCAGTGGGAATTATAAACTGGTATATTTATAACAATAAGGTTGGCAGCTGAGTTACGCCATTTTACATGAACATTGGTTTCTAGATAGTTTGTTGAAAGAAAAACTGCATCTCGCTATGTTTTTATCGTATATTAAAATCTAATTAATTACATAAGTCCATTCCATTATAATACATTTTAACTTTTGACAAATCTCTAAAATAAATTGTTTTATCTTACGAAGAATTTAATAATATTAACACTGATTCGGTCTGTTTCTGATTTTGCTGGTCCTCAGGAAACGTCGAATTACCTGAAGATCACATTTCGCCACCCTTTACTACAAGCCTTTTGCCTAAACTAGGTTGGGGTCGGCTTTAAGTCGACTACGATACGACTGAACTTCGATTTTTTACATGGAGCGCCTGCCATCAGACCATCCCAAGTACTAGACCATATCGAAGTTCTGTAGAAAGACTGTTTTCGGACTTTTGAGGGCCCCAACTACCCGTAACAATAGCCACAGATGTACCTATGGCAATTCCGTGTGGTGACGGATCAAGAATACGGAGTGTCACCACCCCTATTCATCCCGTGGGTGTCGTAAGAGCCGACTAAGGGAACAAACTACGCAGGTCAACAGCACTGCAGAGAGAAGGAAAACTAGAAATAAACCCTATACCAACCGGTCTGGGCAGCGTGGTATAGTAGGCCAAGACCTCCTTTCTAAGGAGAGGCCTATGTCCAGCAGTGGACTAGTATAGGCTGTTGATCAGATATTGTAAAGGCAGTTACCGACAGTCACCAAAAATATTCTCGTGGCTTCTCTAGTCATAGGAGTACGTGAATCCGGGGCTCTTCGAGTAACTGCAGACTCAGTTACTCTTCCTTAAACCTGGTAAAGGCTAAAAGTTATAATACTGACATAAATAGGTGCATCTCATATGTTTTAGGAGCAAGTTACAGCTTGAACAAAAAATAATTGATTATATTCTGCGTCCGTGTTTTGACGGATTAAGAATACCGAGTGTCACTATTCATCTCTTGAGTCTCGTAAGAGACTAAAGGAGAAAACTACGCAGAACAACAGCACTGCAGAGAGAAGGAAAACTTCACACAAGCCCTTTTTTTTACGTACGCATTACAAATATACTAAAAAATAACTGTTACACACTGCAAAGAGAAGGAAAACATGAAACAAACCCTATACCAACCCGTCTGGCCAGCGTGGTATAGTAGGCCAAAACCACCTTTCTAAGGAGAGGCATATTAAAGGTTGTTGATGATGTGTGATGATATTCTGCATGTAATAAATAGGTTACTTAGTTTTTCGATAACATTTTTTTTATTTGAATTCATTAATTGGGATTTAATAACATACAGCAAAGTGTTATCTTCAAGGAGTCAGTCTGTGATGACTACTCACGGCCGCATCCAATCAATCACAGTCGTTTGAACAAGGAACTTGCTTAGATTACCTAACAGCCGCAACACCAAGTTGTGAATCGATACCCGATCATACGAACCATTTTGAAAAAAGTTCGCGATACGGTTGCGGTTAGTTTTGCAAATAATAAAAGTAAAAGAACCGACAAATCGCAATTTGTAACACTAAAAAATTTTCCCACCCGTAATAGAGGTGATTACATCAATTTTGAAATAACAAGCTGGTTTCGAACCCCGGCTTATTTAAAAGTTCCGGTAGGTAGCTTCTAGTGTTGTTTAGTGACTACAATGTATCTCACAAAAGAATAATAATAACCTCACACATCTCAAAAACGACAGTTGATCCCGAATTAGCAGAGCCTGAAATGTTGTATTTTAACACAATGGAATATTGTTTACGAAATAAATAAATAAATATTTCAAAATAAATTCTTAATATTGATAATTTACACCCAGACACACAATAAATGATCGCGCTCATCATACGACTATTTGTCCTGGGTGGGAATTGAACCCACGACCTTAGCAACCAGGGTCAAGAAAGAATAAGTTCATAGTACCTTGGCTTATTTACCTCTCAAAGACTCGTGAGTCCCGCTTATTGTTTCGTTGAGATGCGTTTTTATACCATTGTCAGGTAGTGATTCAAATAGTTTTTATAGTTAATTTTTTATTTAGAAATAATAAATACACGTATTTTGCCAGAAACGTGCACACGTATTATACAACTGCATTCAGTGCAATAAACTTAGACCATTGGACTGACACTGCTCCTTTACGCTCACACCCTGTGATATCTTTGCCTACCCTTTTTTTTTTTTTTTTTTTTTTTTAACGTGTGGAAATCCCCTCGGACCGTCACCCACCCACCCACCCCACCGTAACAGGAGGGATCCGGGAACAGCTGTTGTTAAGACATCCGGACCCCTCCTAGCGCCAGCCCGCTCCTGGTGCGGGCTCCGTCTCAATGGTGTTCCTCTCTTTAGGCGACGTCCGGCACACGCGGACGCCGCCCCCTCGCGGCTGGCCAAACTAATGCGGGTGGAGGGGAAACCCACCCCGTCCACCCGCGGCCACACTCAGGGCGGCATGAGGCTGTGGTAGGCGGGCCTCCGCCGCCCGGTTCGCCGGCGGCGGATCGGGTCCGAGTGGAGGTCGTCCTCCCGGGCCCTCTCCGCCGCCTCCTTCCGCGAGATTACTACCTCGCAGAAGGTTGCGACCGCGGTAAAACAACTGTCGCTACCGGCCATGGAGCGTACTACAGCCGGTAGCGAGAGATCCACTCCGATGACTGCAGTGAGGGCCCGGCGCTGCGCCGCCCATGCGGGGCAGACCGCCAGCGTGTGCTGGGCCGAGTCCTCACTGCAGTCGCAGTGGTGGCAGGCGGGACTCAGTTCCCTCCTAGCGACCGTGTGCAGGTACTTTCCGAAGCAACCATGCCCGGAAAGCACCTGCGTCAGCCGGAAGGAAAGGGTCCCGTGCTGCCGCCCTGCCCACTCGGCGATGACCGGCTGGAGAGCCTCCACGGCGGCGAAGCCAGCGCGTGGAGTCTCCAGCCGGAACGACCAACGAGCCAACGTGGCTCGGCGAGCGGCTTCGCGCCACTCGCGCACATCCTCGGGCGGAGGGCGAAATCCGCTCTCCGCCCGGTAGTTAGCCACTCGCCGATAAACTTCGGCGAGCACTTCCGCCTCCAAATCCCACGGGGGAGTTCCGGCCAACGCGCATGCCACCTCCGTAGAAACGGTGCGGTAACCGCGTATGGCTCTGACCGCCATTACCCTCTGAGGGCGCCAGAGGCGTACCCTATTCTGGGCGGTCAGAGCCGCCGCCCACACCGGTGCACCGTACAGCGCCATTGACCGGACAACCCCCGTGTACAGCCGTCTTGTCGCGACGCTGGGTCCACCCATATTGGGCAAAAGTCGCCCTAGGGCAGACGCAGCGCCGACCAGCTTTGGAGCAAGCTGTCGGAAGTGCTCGTCGAAGAGCCACCTCCCGTCGAGGATCAGGCCCAGATATTTCATCTGGGCCCGAACCGGTACGAGGACCGAGTTGACCACGATTGAGGCGCCAGGGGGTGGACCACGACGGGGCCCATGAAATAACAGGGCCTCCGTCTTGTCTAGGGCCACCCGTAAGCCCAGCGCCTCAATGCGCCCGACCACCAGGGAGACTCCCCCTGTGGCCAGGCGCGCCGCCTCTTGGAAGTTTGCCCCCCGGGCTGTCACGAGGGTATCGTCTGCGTAACAGATTACACCCAGCCCGGGGGGGAAATCAGCGCGAAGGGCCCAGTCGTACCCTATGTTCCACAAGAGGGGTCCAAGAACAGACCCCTGTGGAACACCGCACGACATGGGCCGACTCCTCAAATTACCTTCTCGGTCCTCGTACACGACGGTACGCTCCTCTAAATAGTCTGCCACCAGCCGCCTCAGGTACTTTGGCACCCCATGATAGTGGAGTGCTTCCCTGATGCAGCTGAATGGCAGACTATTGAATGCGTTGGCGATGTCCAATGACACCGCCAACAGCACGCCGCCACAGCTCACGGCCTCTTCGGTCACGGCCCTCAGGCGCAACACAGCGTCGACTGTCGAACGCCCCGCCCGAAAACCAAATTGGGCGTCCGACAGATCGGGGCCCACCTCGCAGAGGTGCCGGACGATGCGGGCAGAAAGAACCCTCTCAAACAATTTGCCCGCCTCGTCCAGCAGCACGATGGGCCTATAGGCCGCGACCGAATCGGCAGGCCGTCCCGGCTTCGTCAGTAGGACCAGCTTCCCGCTCTTCCAGCACTCAGGGAAGCGTCCCGACGCCAAGCTAGCGTCGAACACCTCCCCGAGGCGGT